AAGTGTCGTGGGAAGTTCAAATGGTCTGGAAGTCGAAGTGTCGAGTGCCACTCGCGGCTTGGGACCGGCGGAGCAGAGAGGAGACGCTGTCCTGACGCGGCTGGAGACGGTGGACACACCTCGGTCTGGAGGCCCCGGCCTGGCCTGGCCTCAGAAGCCCGCACTCGCCTGTTCCCAAAGCTCCGTCCATCCCTCGGCCTCCCGGGCCTTTCCCGGCCGCCTCCACTGCGGCCCTCTTTCCCGTGAGCCGCCCTCCTGTCATGACGCCACCTCCTCCAGGAAGCCCCCCCTGACGGCCTGAGACGCTGTGTCCAGCTGCCTACAAACCAGCTCAGTGGAGCGGGGGGACGGCCACCCACCCGCGTTCCCCATGCACGCCCTCGAACCCGGCGCTCCGCCATGGGACCGGCAGTGTCACTGGCTAGATGCTGGACGGCTTGCAATAAGGGAGGCGGCCCCGGCCCCTCCCGGGGCAGCAAGCGCCAAGACTTACCCATGACCTCCAGCTGCACGTGCATGGAAGCTCCGCTCGTCCTGGAGGCGCTTGTGGGAGCGCAGCGGCACGCAGGAAGGCCGTACACCCCTTGTTGGCACACGTGCATTGCACCTCTGCGCACGGGAGGCACCGTCAGAAACGGGGGCTGCCTGCCGGAGCGCTCCCGCCTGCCAACCCAGCGCTCTTGGGAGGCGAAGGCGGGGAGGATCGGCTCAAAGGTCAGGAGTTCAAAACAGCCTGAGCAAGGAGCGAGACCCCGTCCTACCATAAATAAAAGAAATTAATTGCCAACTAAATAAAAATATATAGGAAAAAATTAAGCGGGCAGTGGGCCATGCCTGAGTCCCCAGCTACTCGGGAGGGCTGGAGGCAGGAGGATTGCTTGAGCCCAGGAGGTTGGAGGTTGCTGTGAGCCGAGGCTGACGCCAGGGCATCACTCCCTAGCCTGGGCAACAAGTGGACCTGTCCAAAAAGAGGCCAGGCATGGTGGCTCACGCCTGTAATCTAGCTCTGGAGCCGAGGGCGGGAGGATCCTCCAGGTCAGGAGTTCAAACCCAGCCTGAGCAGAGCGAGACCCGCCTCTACTATAATAGAAAGAAATTAATTGGCCCAACTAAAATATATAAAAAAAGCCGGCATGGTGGTGCATGCCTGTAGTCCCAGCTACTCGGGAGACTGAGGCAGGAGGATCGCTTGAGCCAGGAGTCTGAGGTGTGGTGGAGCGGAGGCTGACGCCACGCACTCACTCTAGCCTGGGCCACAGAGCGAGACTCTGTCTCAAAAAAAAAAAAAAAAGAGCTTGAGGAGCGAAGTCAGGGCTGGAGACAGACTGGGATCCTTGGGGACGTTGTCTGGAACACCTGGACCAGCTGCACGCTGAAGGCGGCCCTGCACCCTGCAGTTCCGTGTTGCGAATCTCCTATGTGCTCTATTTGAGCCGGGAGCGAGGACAGCCCCATGGCGCACGCACCTGGTTGCTTGCAGGAGAAGGCGAACACGATGATGTCGTCGAAGGCCAGGTGTAGTCGGGGGGGCGGTAAGGCCAGGTCCGCGAGCCGCCTTGCGCAGGTCCACGAGGAAGGTCGAGTGCACCATGGGCACGCGAAGCAGCCGCGGCGCTCCGCTTGCGGATGGGATGTAGGCGGGGGTGCGCCGGTAGTGCCCTGCGGGAGCGGGTGGCGGGTTCTGCTCGGGTCCCCCAGGGCGAGCTGGAGGCCGGCCTCAACCCGACGGAAATCGGCTCTGGGGCGGGGAGGGGACGCGAGCGGCAATCAGAGAGGACCTGGGCGGCCGGTGCTCGCCCCAAGCCGGCTGACGCGGTGCGGGCGGCGCGGAGGGCTCGCCAACAGAAAGGGAAGGCGAAGGCCGCAGAAGGGACCGGCAATGGAGACCCTGGGATTTGCCCAGCGGTTAAACGTCAGATGTGTGATTTCAAGGAATGGGGCGGGTGATCAGGAAAGAAAGTTTCCAAGCTTCTGGGCGGGCGCGGCGCTCACGCCTGTCATCCCGGCTCTCTGGAGGCCGAGGCAGAGGATCGCTCGAGGTCAGGAGTTCGAGACCAGCCTGAGCAGAGTGAGACCCCGTCTCTGCTCTAAATAGAAAGAATTAATTGGCCTAATACATATAGGAAATATAGCGGCATGATGGCGCATGCCGTAGTCCGCTATCGGAGGCTGAGGCAGGAGGATCGCGTGAGCCCAGGGGTCTGAGGTTGCTGTGGAGCGAGGCTGCGCCACGGCACTCACTCTAGCCTGGGCAACAAGCGAGATCTGTCTCAAAAAAAAAAGCTTCTGGAACAATCGGAGTTTGGCATCTCTTTTCTCGTGTACCGTTTACAGATGGGAACTGTGAGTGTAGCCTTTGAATTTCTACGACGGGTGTTAAGACACAAACCGCTCCGCTGTCCAATTCAAAATGCTGAGTTTGTTTGTTATGTGAATTTCACCTCAATTTCAAGCAAAACACTAGGGAGGCGGCCAGGGTCACTGTCCCGGCTCCAGCCACCAGTCCCACCTGCCCCCCCTGGCACGGCCCCTGCTCCAGCCCGGCTCTTCTTGCCCGCTTTGCCTGGAACCCAGCCCAGCCCTGGGGTGGGACTTGTGACCGGCGCTGGCATCGAGCCTTGTGTTTCACTGGGCTTCGTGACCCTGGCATGGGCCGGTCAGAGCAGACTTTGGCGCATGCCATCGGGATCGTTCAGGCAGCCTGATAAGAAGCACCCGCGACCACGGAGACGAGACAGCTGCCTGACGCCTGGATCAAGCATGCCTGAAGCCCATCTCTGACGCCACCGCTTTCCTAGCTGTGTGCGTTTAGGCAGGTCACTTCTCCGTGTTTGTTTCACCCCGGGAGATGGGGGCAGGGGGACAGTCCAGCTCTGCCTCCCTCCCTTCGTCAGGTTAAAGGTTAGGGCTACCATGGTGGCGTTTACAAAACGCTCACCACGGGGCGTAGGACGGTAAGCCAGTCACGGCGGGCCGGCCCTACCCTGGGAGGTCATTCCCACCAGAAGTTGGAGTAGGCGCGCGAGTCCAGCATGGGCGCCACCACGTCTGTTCTCCGCGATCAGCAGGTCAGCGTGTCGGGGTTCAGGATCAGGTTTCGCGTCCACGAACTGCGAAACGCACGGCGGGGTGACGTCAGGGCCGCGTGGGACAGCGGGGCCCTGGAGAGGCGGGCGCCCCCGCCCTCAGCGCCAGCCCAGGCCAGCCCAGCCAGCCAGCAGCCCCAGCCCCAGCCCCAGCCCCAGCCCAGGCCCAGCCCCAGCGCACGCCTTGAGACCGGCCGCTGCCCCACGCGCGCCGAGAGAGCTCGCGCACCGGGTTGCGCAGCCGCGAAGGAGTCGCGCGCGCACACGGCGCTGGCGGGACGCGCGCAGGACCGCGGGGACCCCGCGACGCCCCACGTGCGGGAGCCCGAGAGACGGGCGGAGGGCAGCGCTGACCAGTGAGGAGGGCAGGGGTCACCCCGGCCAGGAGTGGCCTTTCTTTCCCTCGAGCAGAGTCTCGCTCTGTTGCTCAGGCTAGAGTGAGTGCCGTGGCGTCAGCCTCGCTACCAGCAACTCAGACTCCTGGCTCAGGCGATCCTCCTGCTCAGCTCCCGAGCAGCTGGACTACAGGCATGCGCCACCATGCCGGGTAAGTTTTTCCATATATTTTTAGTTGGCAATTAATTTCTATTTATAGTAGACAGAAGGTCTTACTCTTGCTCAGGCTGGGCTTCAAACTCCCTGGGTTTGAGCGATCCTCCTGCCTCGCCTCCCGAGTAGCTGGGACACAGGCATGCTCCACCACGCCCGGCTCATTTTTTCTGCATATTTTTAGTTGTCCAGCTAATTTCTTTCTATTTATAGTAGAGACGGGTCTCGTCTTGCTCAGGCTGGTCTCAAACTCCTGACCTCGAGCGATCCTCCCGCTTCGGCTCCCGAGGTGCCGGGGCTGTAACTGTATACTCTAAAACAGTTAATTTTATGTTCTATGAATTTTAAAAACTTTTACCGAAACTAACAAAAACCAGGCAGAAAGTAGATCTCTCTGGGGGCAACACTAAATTTGGCTTTTTTTTTTCTTTCTTAAGCTTTATATATCGTCTGTCTTATATTTTCTCTCAAGTAACATGCCGGTTTTATAAAACAGCGGGAAAAAGGGACCCTTCTAACAAAAAAATGTCTTAAAACATCAGACAGACAATTTCCCATCCCAACACGAACTTCCAATCTCCAATTACAAAGACGTAACTTTTGTGTCAAAAGCTGCTTTCGGTTTGACCAACACATTTGAGTTCACCCAGCCTTGCCGAGGGGGCAAAAAAGGTGAAAAACAGCAACCGCAAACCGCAAAGCAGAATCCAGGTGGGCAGGACAAGGCAGCTCTGTGCCGGAAGGTTCCAGATCCGCCTCCGTGCCTTGCTGGTTCTGAGGCCCCCACCAGGAAGCCGTCCTCCCTGCCTAAGCGTCAGCTTCCTCGTAAAATCCATACCCAGTCCCCAGGCGGGGCCTGTCCCTGGCTTTACGAGGTAACTAGAACCCGCTCCACGGCCCCTGCCCCATGTCGGCCTCCAGCCCAGCCCAGCCCAGGCCGGTCCTGCAGAGCCCGGGCTCTGCTCCCACAGCAGCCGCGGGGGCTCGGAAAATCTTAATCAGGGCCGGGCACGGTGGCTCACGCCTGTCATCCCAGCACTCTGGAGGCCGAGGCGGGAGGATGGCTCAAGGTCAGGAGTTCGAGACCAGCCTGAGCGGAGAGCGAGACCCGTTCTCTAATATAATAGAAGGAAATTATTGGCCAACTAATATATATAAAAAAATTAGCCGGGCACGGTGGCGCATGCCTGTGGTCCCAGCTCTCGGGAGGCTGAGGCGAGAGATGCTTGAGCAGGAGTCTGAGTTGCTGTTGGCTGGGGGCTGGGGCTGGGCGCTGGGCGCTGGGGGCGGGCGCCCGCCTCTCCAGGGCCCCCCGCTGTCCCCACCCGCCGGGGCCCTGACGTCGCCCCGCTGCGCAATTCGCAGTTCGTGGACGCCGACAACCTGATCCTGAACCCCGACACGCTGAGCCTGCTCATCGCGGAGAACAGGACGGTGGTGGCGCCCATGCTGGACTCGCGGGCCGCCTACTCCAACTTCTGGTGCGGAATGACCTCCCAGGTAGGGCCGGGCCAGCCGTGAGTCTGGCTTACCGTCCCACGCCCCCCGTGGTGAGCGTTTTGTAAACGCCACCATGGTAAGCCCTAATCTTTAAACCTGACGAAGGGAGGGAGGCAGAGGCTGCGACTGTCCCCCTGCCCCCATTCCGGGGTGGAAACAAACACGGAGAAGTGACCTGCCTAAACGCACACAGCTAGGAAGCGGTGGCGTCAGAGATGGGGCTTCAGGCATGGCTTGATCCAGGCGTTCAGGCAGCTGTCTCGTTCTCCGTGGGTCGGGTGGCTTCCTTATCAGACTGCCCGGGAACGATCCCATGGGCATGCGGCCAAAGTCTGCTCTGACCGGGCCATGCCAGGGTCACCGAAGCCAGGGAAACACAAGGCTCCGATTGGCCAGGCCCGGTCACAAGTCCCACCCCAGGGCTGGGGCTGGGGTTCCAGGCAAAGGGGGGGGGCAGAGAAGAGCCGGGTGCTGGAGCAGGGGCCGTGGCCAGGGGCAGGGGGACTGGGTGGCTGGAGCCGGAACAGTGACCCTGCCACCTCCTAGTGTTTTTGCTTGAAATTGAGGTGAAATTCACATAACAACAAAACTCAGCATTTTAAAATTGGACAGCGGAGCGGTTTGTGTTCTTAACACCCGTCGTAGAAATTCAAAGGCTACACTCACAGTTCCCATCTGTAAATGGTACAAAGAAAAGAGATGCCAACTCCAGATTGTTCCAGAAGCTTTTTTTTTTTTTGAGACAGAGTCTCGCTTTGTTGCCCAGGCTGGAGTGAGTGCCGGGCGTCAGCCTCGCTCACAGCAACCTCAGACATCTGGGCTCAAGCGATCCTCCTGCCTCAGCCTCCCGAGTAGCTGGGACTACAGGCATGCGCCCCCATGCCCGGCTCATTTTTTCTATATATATTAGTTGGCCAATTAATTTCTTTCTATTTATAGTAGAGACGGGGTCTCGCTCTTGCTCAGGCTGGTCTCGAACTCCTGACCTCCAGCGATCCTCCTGCCTCGGCCTCCCAGAGAGCCGGGATGACAGGCGTGAGCCGCCGCGCCCGGCCCCAGAAGCTTTGGAAACTTCTCTTCCTGAGATCCCACCCGCCCCCATTCCTCGAAATCACGCATCTGACGTTTAACCGCTGGGCAAATCCCAGGGTCTCAAATGCCGGGTCCCTTCTGCGGCCTTCGGCCTTCCCCTTCCTGCCTGGCGAGGCCCCTCCCGCGCCTGCCCGCCCGCCGGTCAGCCGGGCTTGGGGGCGGAGCACCGGCGCCCAGGTCCTCTCTGATTGGCCGTCGCGTCCCCTCCCCGCCCCAGAGCCGATTTCCGTCGGGTTGAGGCCGGCCTCCAGCCTCGCCCCTGGGGGGACCCGAGCAGAACCCCACCACCCGCTCCCCGCAGGGCTACTACCGGCGCACCCCCGCCTACATCCCCATCCGCAAGCGGGAGCGCCGCGGCTGCTTCGCCGTGCCCATGGTGCACTCGACCTTCCTCGTGGACCTGCGCAAGGCGTCCTCGCGGAGCCTGGCCTTCTACCCGCCCCACCCCGACTACACCTGGCCCTTCGACGACATCATCGTCTTCGCCTTCTCCTGCAAGCAAGCAGGTGCGTGCGCCGCGGGCTTTGCCGTCGCGGGGCTGTCCGGCTCCAAATAGAGCACATAGGAGATTCGCACAACTGGAACTGCAGGGTGCAGGGCCGCCTTCAGGTGCGGCTGGATCCAGGTGTTCAGACAACGTCCCCAAGTCTGAGTTTTTAAAACATTTTTTCGTTAAAGGTCCTTTTTCCCCTCTGTTTTTATAAAAGCCGTGCATGTTACTTGAGGAGAAAAATAAGACGAGAGTTGATAATGAAGCTTAAGAAGAAAAAAAAAGCCAAATTTTAGTGTTGGCCCCAGAGAGATCTACTTCTGCCTGGTTTTTGTAGTTTTGGTCAAAGTTTTAAAATTCATAGAACATAATTAACTGTTTTAGAGTATACAGTTACAGGCCCCGGCAACTCTTCGGGAGCCGAAGCGGGAGGAATCGCTCGAGTCAGGAGTTTTGAGCAGCCTGAGCAAGACGAGACCCGTCTCTAACTATAAATAGAAAGAAATTAGCTGGACCAACTAAAAACTTATGCAGAAAAAATGAGCCCGGGCGTGGTGGAGCATGCTTGTCCCCTACTCGGGAGGCGAGGCAGGAGGATCGCTCAAACCCCAGGGAGTTTGAGCCCACCTGAGCAAGAGTAAGACCTTCTGTCTACTATAATAGAAATTAATTGCCCAACTAAAAATATATGGAAAAACTTAGCCGCATGGTGGCGCATGCCTGTAGTCCACTGCCGGGAGGCTGAGGCAGAGATCGCCTAGCCCAGGAGTCTGAGGTTCTTGAGCGAGGCTGGGAAAAACGCCACGGCACTCACTCTAGCCTGAGCAACCAGAGCCGAGACTCTGCTCGAGGAAAGAAAGAGCCACTCCTGGCCCCGGGGTGACCCCCTGCCCTCCCCTCACTGGTCAGCGCTGGCCTCCGCCCCTCTTCTGGGGCCCGGCCCGTGGGCGTCGCGGGGTCCGCAGGTCGTAGGCTCGTCCCCGCAGCGCCAGTGTGGGCGCGAGGCTCCTCTCGCGGCTGCGCAACCGTCGGGCGCGAGGGCTTCTCTCGGAGCGCGTGGGGCAGCGCCGGTCTAAGGGGTGCCGCTGGGGCTGGCCTGGGCTGGGCGCTGGGCGTAAAGCCAGGGACAGGCCCCGCCTGGGGACTGGGTATGGATTTTACGAGGAAGCAGACGCTTAGGCAGGGAGGGGACGGCTTCCTGGTGGGGGCCTCAGAACCAGCAAGGCACGGAGGCGGACCTGGAACCTTCCGGAACCTCCCGGCACAGAGCTGCCTTGTCCTGCTCACCTGGATTCTGCTTTTGCGGTTTGCGGTTGGCTGTCTTTCACCTTTTTTGCCCCCTCGGCAAAGCTGGGTGGAACTCAAATGTGTTGGGTCAAAACCGAAAGCAGCTTTTGACACAAAAATTACGTTTTTGTAATTGGAGATGTTGGAAGTTCGTGTTGGGATGGGAAATTGTCTGAGAGAACGAGACATGCTGCCTGAACGCATCTGGGATCAAGCGCATGCCTGAGCCCCATCTCTGAACTGCCACCCCTTCCTAAGCTTGTGCGTTTAGGCAGGTCACTTCTCCGTGTTTGTTTTCCACTCGGTAATGGGGGCAGGGGGACAGTCGCAAGCCTCTGCCCTCCATCACCTTCGTCAGTGTTTAAAGATTAGGGCTTACCTATGTGGCGTTACAAAACGCTCACCCACGGGGCGTGGGACCGTAAGCCAGACTCACGGCTGGCCCGGCCGCCTACCTGGTGAGGTCATTCCGCACCAGAATGTGGAGTAGCGCCCCGCGAGCCCACATGGCGCACCATACCGTCCTGTTTCCTCCGCGATGACAGGCTCAGCGTGCGGGGTTCATGATCAGTGTTGGTCGCGCCACGAACTGCGAATTGCGCAGCGGGCGACGTCAGGGCCCCGGCGGGTGGGGACATTGCGGGGGCCCTGGAGAGGCGGCGCCCGCCACGCCCATCGCCAGCCTCGCCCCAGCCCCCAGGCGCCCGCCCAGCCCACGCCCGGCCCAGCCCTACAGCCCTCACGCCCCAGTCGCCCCGGTCCTCCACCCCCAGCCCCCAGCCCAGCGCCCGCTCCCCAGCGCTCCGCCCCCATCCGCCTCAGACCCTCATGCGCCCAGCCCCAGCGCCTCCAGCTCCCAGCACCCAGCCCCCCAGCCCGCAGCCCCAGAGCCCGCCCCAGGCGCCTCAGCCAGCCCCAAGCCCAAGCCCCCAGCCCACCAGCCCACAGCCCCCGGCCCCAGCCCCAGCCCCCAAGCCCAGCCCCCAGAGCCCTGCACCCAGCCCCAGCCCCCCAGCCCCCAGCGCCTCAGCCCCAAGCCCAGCCCCCAGCCCCAGCCCCCAGCCCAAGGCCCCAGGCCCAGCCCCAAAGCTCCCAGGCCCTAGCCCCCCAGCCCCAGGCCCCAGCCCCAGCCCAGCCCCCAGCCCCCAGGCCCAGGCCCCAGCCCCCAGCTCCCCAGGCCGCCCCCAGTCTCCCCAGCCCCAGCGCCCAGTCCAGCGCCCAGCCCTCTCAGCCGGCCCAGCCCCAGCCCCAGCTCCCAGCCCCCAGCGCCCAGCCCAGCGCCCAGCCCAGCGCCCAGCCCAGCCCCAGCGCCAGCCCAAGCCCTCCAGCCCCAGCCCCAGCCCCCAGCGCCCAGCCAAGCCCAGCCCCCAGGCCCCAATGCCCCAGCGCCCAGCCCCAGCCCGCCCCCAGCGCCCAGCCCCAAGCCCAGCCTCAGCCCCTAGCCCCAGCCCCTCAGGCCCCAGGCCCCAGCCCAGCCCCCAGGCCCAGCCCAGCCCCCAGGCCACAGCCCCAGGCCCAGCCCCAGCCCTCCAGCCCCCAGCCCCCAGCCCCAGCCCAGCCCCAGGCCCCAGCCCCCAGCCCCCAGCCCAGCGCCCAGCCCCCAGCGCCAGCCCTCAGCGCCCAGCGCCCAGCCCAGCCCCAGCCCCAGCCCCAGCCCCCAGCCACAGCCAGCGCCAGCCCCCTCCCCTCAGCTGCCCAGCCCCCAGCGCCCAGCCCCAGCCCTCCTCAGCCCCAAGCCAGCGCCTGCCCCCAGCGCCCAGTCCCCCAGCGCCCAGCCCCACCCAGCCCAGCCAGGCCCAGCCCCAGCGCCCGCCCCCAGCGCTCCGCCCCTTGAGAACCCGGTCCGCGCACCACGCGAGCCAAGAGACGCCCTGCGCCGCCACCGGTCGGCGGCCCGCGAAGGAGTCCGCGCCGCGCACACGGCGCGGCGGGACGCGCGCATGGACCGCGGACCCCCGGACGCCCCATTGTGCGGGATGCCCGAGAGACGGGCGGAGGGCCAGCGCTGACTTCAGTGAGGAGGCAGGAGGTTCACCTCCGCCAGGAGTGCCTTTTATTTTTTCCAAGACAGAGTCTCGACTCTGTGCCCAGTGCTAGAGTGATGCGCCGCGCTCAGCCTTCGCTCACAGCTAACCTCAACGTCCTGGCTCAGCAATCCTCCTCCTCACCTCCAGTAGCTGGTGACACAGCATGCGCCACCATGCCCGGCTAATTTTTTCTAATATATATTTACTTGTGCCAATTAATTTCTTTCTATTTAGTGGAGACAGGGTCTGCTCTTGTCAGATGCTGGTCTCTCGACTCCTGAAGCCAAGCCAATCCTCCCCTCCTCGCCTCTCCGGAGTTGCCGGGATGACAGGCGTTGAGCCTCCGCGCCCTGCCTGTAATGTGGATACTCTAAAACAGTTAATTTTTAATGTTCTATGAATTCTTAAAACTTTTACCCGAAACTAACAAAAAACCACGGCAGAAGCGTAAGATCTCTCCTGGGGGCACACTACGAAATTTGGTTTTTTTTTCTTTCTTAACAGCTCTTTATATAATCGTCTGTCTTATATTTTCTCCTCCAAGTAACATGCACGGCTTTTATAAAAACAGCGCGGAAAAAGGACCCTTCTAAACAAAAAATGTCTTAAACATCAGA